CTACAATAAAATAAAAAGACTTCAAAGTTGATTTTTAGAGAACATTTACAATACTGTCTATTTGCCTTAACACCATCTGACAGAGCATGCAGGGATACTTAGTGTGTCAGATGAAAGCTTCCTTGTTTATTTTTGTTGGCCTGAGGCCTTTTCACAGTTTTCCTATTCACTGAAAGGAAGGGAGGACAGGGAGAGGCAGAAATGATGGCTGCTTGGATTTAGATGCCCACGAAGAACCCAAATACTCTGTTTCAGGAAAAATCTACCTTGTTGCAAATGCAGTGTCCATGACCACTAGGAGTAAAAGCCACCCTTACTTTTTCGATAAATGCTAAATTTGGATTACTGAGCATCAAGCGACTTCCTGGCTTTATACACACAAAGTTGTAATTGAAAGAAAGAAAATATGTTGGTACTAATTACAGTTCCCTGCTAACATTTGTCCCCACTCCCAAATATTCACAAAAGTTTTTTCAGCTCTCTTATGATACGCAATTATCAGAGTTCTGCAAAACAACTACTTAGGTAATACAAACTATTTCTTAAGTAACTTCTTTCTATCTCCAATTCCTTGTAGTAAAATGAGGCTAATAACATTTCTCTATGTATCAAATGAGTTTTGAAAATCAAGATGTAGCGATGAAGACCATGAATAAAATTTATGTTATTTTTGTAATGGGGAAACTGCTGATCCATTGGTAGACTACTGTTAAAACTAGAAATTGACTCATTTGTCACTGTTTAAGGCTACTTCATGCAGCTACAAGACAGCTTAAGCCCAATTACATACTCTAGTTATTTTTTTTAATTTTTACTTTAAGCTGTAAGTATGCTTTGCTGCATTTTGCTCATTCATTAAAATCTACTGAAAATGCAGAAAGTTTTCGAATGGCACCTCTGGGCAGATTTTATTTTAGAGACTATGACTGAAAAAACATTTCTCTGCAAGTCAAAGCTCCAACAGAATGCTCCACATTTAGAGTAATGCAAATATATTCTGGCATACATTTTTGACAGCCTAAGTAGAGTTCAGAGAAGAAAAAGGAACCAAGCTGTATCGGAGGCATCAGATATTGATGCCCTGTTACTTTAAACCCAGCAAACAGCCCTCAGCATCCTAGAAGAAAGAGCATTAGAAATGGAGTTTTACCTGGAAATCATCACTGTAGACAAAAACATTAGCAGGTTCTGGACAGGCACACTTGACTTGTTTAACAGTGATTATGCCTATTTGCATCAGACTGCTCTCTGACAAAGTACTGACTTTGATGGCACAATTCAGAAAAACTGTTCATAAAAACTCAAAATTGAAGTCAAAAACCTTTCGTAGGAAAGGCTCTTTGAGGAGAGAGTAAGGCAGAAAACAAACATTCCCAGGAGGACAAGGATTATTTTGTTACCATGAAGTAGGGAAGAAAGAGCATTTATCAGACACAAGGGATTCAAGGAAGTTCTAGTATAGCATTTGCATCAGAATCTGCAAAAAAATATTCAATGTACAACAGACTAATTAAAGAATTTTTTAACTTAATTTTAAAGGTAAAGAACTACTGTTACACATAAACTTCCAATGTATTGTGGGGGTTGGTTTGTTTTCATAACAAAAATCTTGGGTTTCGTGTCCTCTTCTTAAAGATTAGGCCTAAAGTTTTCTTAAGGAAATTCAATGGCTCAAGAAATTATGGCTTTAAGTTTGTCATATGTTCTAATGCTTATTTTCAAGATTTATACCTAAAATATTCATTAGTTTGTAAGATATTAAGTATGGGAACGTTCATTCCTAGTAAGTACTCATATACTAGTAAGCACTATTTAAAGTTTCAATAAATATTTTAAATCGTAAACAAGTTTTCTACAGAAATACATAAAAAAAGTAAGGAAAACAACTTAGTCTTCAACTAAATAGAAACAGTCTCCTCAGAAAATCTGGTCTAAGATTTTAAACTGAGAACTCCTCTCAAAAGTATTTTAAATGTTCCACAGATTACAGTATACATCTGATAGAATAAATATAAGGAATTATCATAAGAGTCCTGATACCTATTTTTAATCTTGAACACGAAGTATGGTTATAGATTAAAAATTGTTAGAGTACTGTCAGGGAGATAAAACTACAACAGGCACCTACACATAACTATTTCATTTTTGTATCTCTCTTGCACTATAGAAATTTAAGCCAGTACTTATCCCAATTATGGTGTTCTAAAGCATACCCTTCCCCCAGCCAAATAAATAAAGTTAGAACCAAAAGACTTCACTAAAATTTATGAGAAATCATTAAAACAGTTGAGCAACTCTGCCTTCAAGTGAAGGCTTAATTAAAAGGTTTGGTGACTACACTTTTACACTAAAGCCACATGAAACTCACATTGTAGCAAGACCTAACTTTAAATTTATGTGGTGTTTATTTGCCTGAGGTTACCAGAAATCACATAACATACCTTGGCAAAAAAGACTGTGAGGTGTGTTTCACTGCCAAGTACCCAAATGGGAAATTTTGGAGATTTCAAGTAAGACCCAACCTAAAAAGGTACAACAAAATCAGAAACACAAAGCAAACCCAGAAAACTCATCTAGTTAGTGATCAAGTTAATGACAATCCAATTAGTGGAATCCCAGCTGCTCTGAGAACTAACAGAAAATGTTCACTAAAATGACAAAACAGTACAAAATACTTAGAGTCTAAGTTTTATAACAATCTACATAACTTCCATTACAAGTTATTTTAGTTAAAACATAAGCTCCTGACTAGCTATATTAAATTGGTGCAATAAAGTTTAATTTAAATAGCAGCAAACATAATTTACACAATAAGACGCATTTAACAATTATACCATCTCTGTTTTAACATGGAATTATTCTCAGTTTTAACTTGAGCATACTTTGAAAGTTCTTTAATAACCCAAATTGTACCCAGTGAAGGCTTCAGTAATACTGTCAAAGAACCACAAAACCTCTATGAAAGAAACATTTTAAATTATGTACAAAAGAGCTTACCTTACAGTATCTCAGAGATTCCATCAATGTCAAAAAGCCTACTGTTGCTTGTTTATGTATACCAAGAAGTTCTGTTTAAAACAAAACACAATTTATTAAAGAAAAGTTTGCAAAGCCTCTTTTAAACCATTTTTTCTTACTTTCAGAACTGGTCAAATAACAATTTTAAAAGTCATGCAGTTTTACCAACAATGGCAAATTATCAAGATATAGCAAAAAAAATGATAAAAGTTTAATAATTTCCCTCTTTATAAAATAAAAGGAGCCAAATGGATGGTTTTAAAAGTTAACTGTTGACAGCAATATTTCAAAAGCTGTTTGATTTAGTAGGAGATAAAGTACTTGTAACTTATATCAAAATTACTCTCAGAACAATTTAAGGAAAAACAACTATCTTGAAGGCTAAAAAACCCATATGTATGCATATATGTATTTTTCTTCTCTCCCCCCCCCTTTTTTTTTTTGAGAGTTCCCTGGACATATTTATCTTAATCATTTTACAGTCTGAATAATGAAACATAATTTTACAAATAACAGCTTTGCTAGTAGGAAATAAAGCACTCAATTTGATTTTCTGTACTGACTTCCACTTAAAGTATCACACAGCTCTTGAGCACACACAGCTGTCAGGAATAGCTGAAATATTTATGTACTACTGATTGGAAGAGCACTTACAGAGCCTTATTTGAGGCTCTCTAATAAAGAATGAGAAAGTACTTAAAAATTCAAGCTTAGAAACCAAGTTATAATCATAAAGATTCGAAGAAGCTCTGGCCTTGCGTATGCATCATCTCAACAGTGCAAGTACTGTCTACTTGAGACAGCTCTGCTAGGTCCCTTAACATTGTCTAAGCAAAGGGCAGCACATACCCAACCCCACAAATACACATAAGAACTTATATCATGACCAATTTAACAAGATTTGCATTTCCTTTTTTCAGAAAACATGGATTTCCATATTTGAAAGTTCCTTCTAAAACACTAACTCTCAACTGTTTTTTTAACATTGATCATTCACATACAGTAGCAAAAAACTAAACTGGCCCAAAGCCTCAGGACCATAGCAAGTGAAAGAAACTGATTCAAATTTAAAAGATTTCTAGACTTCGAGAAGTCAACTTTGTATTTCACTGTAACTCTCAGCACTAGGCATGGTATGCCACGTCTCCTTCACCAACTTCAAGTTTACTTTGTGGCCTGGAAGTAAGACACCTTCCCTAAAGCTGTCAGCTATACATATTAAAAGGCTCTCTTTGCACTGCATAATTCTTTGATCTGAAACCACGCTTTCAAGGATTATCTTCAAACTTGCTTGGAATTAAAACATTTGGGGGTGCGTAGATAATACTCTGCAGAACCTCATTACCTCACTGACTTGTAGCTGTGTTGCTATAAACTGCCATACGTCGAGACAATTAATCCTTTCTTTGAGCCGAAGGCAAGAGAGCTACCTCCATTAAAAACACTAGTGAAGGATCCTTCAAACTAGGGAATGCTGTTGTTCAGAAATAGCACATTCATATGTGCAAACAAGGGAAACAAAGGGGAGAATTAAGCAACGGTGCATTAAAGAAATAACTTTAACACGTCACATGTATTTCTTAAAAATCTTTAACAACAATCAACAAAGTTCAGACTGTTAAACAAAGGCTTCAGATTTAGGATGCTTGGAATATAACAGCAAAGTCATATATAATATTTACAATTCAAAAAATAATTCAAGAAAAAAACCAGATTATTAAGTATGCTGTTCCCTTGACAGATAACTAGATGAGAACTCCAACTGATAACTAGAGAGAGCTGGCATCATGACTACGAAAGTAGCCACAAAGTGAGTATCCCGATTCCATGTCAGGGAATGAATATGTTTGTCAGAAAGTTAGTTTCTCCTTTTTTTAAAGTACTTTTGTGAAATACTCAAATTTTTAAGAAGGAAGAAAATTTTGCAAAAAAAAAAAAAAAAAAAAAGAGTCGGGCCCAAACTAATGAGAGTTTTGAAATGTAATATTGTTACCAACCGTGTCAGAATACCGCCACCTACTGACACCATGAAACACCACAACTCCTTGGCACTAAGAAAAGCAATTACAGCATTATTTGTATTCATAGTAAATTGTTATACTTCACATAAAGTGAGGGGAAAAAAAATTCTACTTCCCCATGTCTTCCTATTGAGGATAATTGTGGCAAGAGAATAAATCAGAATAAGAAGAAAGGTTTAAAGGGGAATATGTCGATAGTCAAAGAAGAGGGATCATTTCACTGGTATTTGTACCAGCAGTGGCCAAGAACAACTCCAGCTAATAACTCCTGCTCTATGTGGAAAATGTGCAATACTGTAAAAGTCAGAGTTCTGAGCATAATGTGCAAACTACCTGGTAATTCCTACAGTTTGTAATTCAGTATGTTCTTTGTCACTGGTAAAATTAATGACAGTAACTTTAAAATGGCTTTGAAATAACATTGAAGATCTACTTATTAATTAAAAATTGCTTCTCTAAACAGTTGAACAAGAGGTAAACTGGCTTTACACAACTTCTGAATAAAAATGTAAGGTGAGTGCCATTCTGAAATTCAATTTAGTAAATGTATTTGCTTGTGGTAACAGCATCACCTATCTAGCGTTTTTCTCATTCTTGCATTGTGGCTGAAACTTCTTACTGTTGCTTCGTTGCTGCCCCTGCAAATACGCCATGAACCACATCATATCTGCTGCTTTCTGTAGTTCTTTTGCACCACCTTTCCTGCCCCTCAGTTTCAGAAGTTCACCTACTGATTACACCTACTCATAGAAATACCCCAAATCTCTTTCCATTCTTTTTTATACATGGTAGAAATCAAGCAGCACTGGCAATCAGCTCTGTACAATCCTAATGTCAAATCTTCCAACTTCTTGTCACTTTACCAGAGGAATTTAAGGTAAGTGACCAGCAAACAAACCAGAAAAACACACACAACGCCAACTTCACACAACAGTCAGCAAACACATTTGGTTCTTTTCACCTTGACACCTGCAACCCTTCTACGTGAGAGACTCCTAGCATTGGCAGTAAGGAAGCTGAAGACTACAGTCAATGAGCCAAATGCTGAAGAAATTATTGAAGGAGAAAAGAAAAGATGACAAAAAGGACTGACAGATAAAGGAAATGTGACAATATATCCAAAATTCAGTCTTGCCTAAGAAGCTGTGAACAGTCGGTCTTTTTGGTAGACTACACAAATCACTTTGCAATAGATACTGATTAGAGACTTCAGACAGTGAAGAAGCTGGTTTGGACTGTAATTATCCCAAGGACTTGAAGAAAATGGAGGGCTTTCAACAGCAGTTAAGTCCAATTACTTGACTGGTGAAAAACTAACAGGACACATAATACCAGATTCTTAAGATGTACTAAATTATTAATTATTGATTATTTTCTGCTTTGCCTCTTTCCCCAAAGACTGACAGATGTTTCTATGGGAGTTCTGGATCAGGATTATTAGGGAAGAACTGATTGACAACCTAAATGCAGAATAAAACAGGAAAAAAATGAGAAAAAAAACCAAAACAGGAGAAAGGATGCTTTTAGCCTCCAAAAGGTTGATTTTAACTTCCAAATTAGTAATCAATTTGCATGCATTACGAAGGACAAAAAAAAATAAAATAAAAGAAGCAGCCAATATAGGCTCATCAGTAATAGACTACAATATTCTAATCTAAATTCCCTGGTAAGAAATCTACCAAACAGGGGTGAGAAGAGTTAGATGCAGTATCCAAATGACATTCTGATAAGTCTGATGCTAAAGTACAGCCTGTATGGAATTATAATCAAGTGGAAGTCCAAAAGGTCTCACAGATTATACTACTTGTTCATTGCCAAACCAGAGCATTTTGATTCAGGTCTTGCATGGATCTGTCTTGAACCATAGTTCAAGTCATTATTTTCAGTGATGACTTAGATGATGTAAAATCCTTGTAAAAACACACTGATGAACCTGAGATGGACTTCGCAGCAGTGAGAGAGAGCATGTGAACACTTTCACAATTCAAAGTGTTCCTGCTTTCAGATCATCTTCTCTGCAAGATGAAATGCAAAAAAAAAAACAACCAACCAAAACAAACCACCACCAACCAACCAACCAAAAAAACCCCCACAAAACAACCAGAAAAGGCCCCTAATCATCATCTCCACTGGACTCACTCCACTATGTCAATGTCTTTCAAGAACTGGGGAGCCCAAAACTGGACACATCACCCCAGAAGTGGTCCTACAGGCACTAGTTAGAAGGAAAGAGCCATCACTTCCCTCTGCCTGCTGGCAATTCTCCTATATAGCCCACAATGCACTCGTGGTCTTTGCCAGAAGAGCATACTGCTGACTCATGTGCAACTCAACGCCCACAAGGACCTCGGGTCCTTTTCTACAAAGCTGCTTCCTAGCCAGCCAGTGCTGCCCTGCGCTGTTGCATGGGCTTAATCCATCCCACATGCAGGAGTTTGGTGAATGCCATGAGGTTCCTGTCAGTTCACTTCTGGAGCCTGATGTGGCTACTCTGAACAGTGGTGCTGTTTCCGGGGTACTGACCAGCCCTCTCAACTTGCAGAGGACTACACTCCCTTCTACCATCCAGATATCAGGTACCTCGTAATTTCAACCTGTAGCTGACAATCCTATGTATACTGACATTGACATCAGAGATTTTGTGCAAGTATGTCTTATTTCTATTTGAGGTCTGCTTAAACCAAAGGACAGTAAACACAGACTATCAACACGGAAATAGAGCCTATTGCTAATCTGTAAGTCAACATCTCATGGTATGTAAAAATTATGAACAAATAAGCTAGAATCAACTTACTCATTCCTGAACATTCTCTGTCTCCATCCCACACATTAGAAACAGCATGCCCCGTCAACAGGAGGTTAATCAAACTTTGGCTACATAACAGAAAGAAATAGCCTATTAGAAGGGATACACAATTTATTTCTGATAAAGTGGTTAATCTCTAACAAATGAAAAAGATACTGTATTACCCAGACAGCTAAGTAGATATTCTCTAAATATATTCCTTTAATTAGCGTGTATTTGCAATTCAGCAACACTAATATGATCTCCACTCTTTCAATGAGCAACTTGACATAAAAATGCAGCCTTGAATTTGAGAATTATCTCTGAAAACTCAGCAATAACAAAAGCATTTCCTCAGAACTTACACACTAAATGAAGTAAGCACTGAAAAAGGCATGCTATGTTAAGTGTTGCCTTTAGCTATTATGAAGTTATAACTGAATCTCTGTCTCAATGTCAATTCCATAAAAATATGATCAGTTACAAAAACATAAAAAAATATTCCACTAAACTGTTATAAGTGGTAGCAATCATATTTTTCAGCCTACCTTCCATGACCGTAAACAGGATCTATCAATGGCTCAGTTGCATCTTCAATTTCATTTTTTATGTTTTCAATACCCTGCAGAAAAATTACATTTTTGCTCTCTTAAGGAATGAATTGCAACCCTTACAACAACAGAATGCAATAGTAATCAACATTAGGGAGGCTGATGTTCTTATATAAATTGACACCTAAACATACTTCTTTCTCTTGATAAGAAATGGTAGAGATACACAAGGAAGGATGTTTCCAAAACGTTAACTCTTCCAGATCAGAAAAAAATAGACAAGACTAAGCTTTTCAAGTTCTTACACTGGAAATGTTTTGCAACATGAATGGAGACACCATTCCATTCATTTATCTAGATTTGACTTATTTTATCAGCTGAGTTTAGTGTTCTTGTTTTACAGAAAAAGGGTTACACGATCAAACTTCCTCTTAACAAAGGAGCAAAACAAATAAACATACACACAAAAGATCAAATGACCCGCACACCTTTGTCAGTATAACAGAATACAGAAAGAGCAATACTCCAAATCTGTTTGTCCACACTGAATATTGATCCCAAACTGCATCCTTCAGTTCAGGGAAGCTTTTGAATGCTCGTTTACTAAAGACAAAAAAACAACAGAAAAAGAGAATCTATTTAGATGAAGCATTAGAATAGTGTCACAAAGCACAAACAAGAACTGTTAAAACTAGTAAAAGCAGAGTAAAACTGGTGTTACACATAGATGACATAGCAGCTGTTCTGGAGTTATCAGAACTGCCATAGAGTCATTAGTATTCACTCATGAGAAGCAGATAAATAATTCTGGAGCAATGTGCAAAATGAACATAGTTCTTATGTGCAAGCACTAACCATAAAGTTACACACACTTGTGAAAGAGCTGAACTGGCTTGAACCAGTAATTCTACAAAACACTGTTACTGAAATTGTGAATAGACTGTATGTCACCAAAATAACATTTGCATTATAGAGTGTTCTGAAAGACGTTCAGCTGATAAAACTGGAGAAAAAAAACCTTTCCACTTAACCAGGGAAGACTACTCTCCAGGCTTTCAAAGTAATTATTAAATTTCCCATGAGAATTTTGCCTTTGCTAGACTAGAGCTTTGGAAAAAGTAAAATATTCAAAACATTTGGGAAACTATCTAGTTGTATAATAAGGCTGCTGCTTGGATGATAAGGTAACACCAGGTGATATGTTTAAAAAGAAGTAAGTAAAATAAAAACCGAGGAAAGCAAGAGACCCATGAAGTATTCCATTTCTATTTCTTTGGATAGTTAGAACTAAATACTGTTTCTCAGAACACAAACGTTAGTTTTTATTGAGTAATTCAAACTAGATCACACTCTCTGCTTATCTTACACAAATTTAGGTATATTCTTTTTGATTTCTTGCATAATTTTAGTAAGTCTTGTTGAAAGAAGAAACAAACATCTGCAAAAATAAATGGGTTTACTCTGGCTAACATTTCAGATTTTTAAATCACCTTTCATTATCAATAGAGTATACAAAGCATACAAGGTATACAAGGTGAAGTCAGTTCTGAAATCCATCACTTGTCTTGCTCTAAAGGTGTCTGCCAGAGCATTCATTTCCAGTGAGAAAGACTGAGGAAAACTGAAGTGGGTACCACAAGTCCAAAGATGGAGGGGGTGAGTGTGAGGGAGGAGGAGGCAGGAAATCAGTGTTTTTTGACCAGATAAGGTTACAAAAATTTTATATTCTCTTACTTCTTTCGTCATATGAAATAGGTTTAAACAACAAACTATAATTACTATCAATACAATAAGCAGTAGTTATTTCACTTCTAATCAGTAACATTTTCCATCTCAAGTTGGTTTATGAAATTCTATTGCTTATTTCCTCTTTGGGGATTTATTTGTATAACAATTACAACTGTTCACTGAGAAAATAAATGTCTGTTACCTTTAAAGATAAACACACTAAAACTCTAAGCGCTGTATTTACACCCAAAAAAGAGAAGAGTGTCTTAAAGTAATGAAACAAAACTCAGTCTTGCATCTGTCTCAAATCAGAAAAAATACTAGATGATGATTTTTTCAGTGTATGTATCACAACTATTTCCGATAGAATCACCTGTGAAGACTGTGTAAAAAAACAATTAAGGATTAACATCTTTAACTGAAATGTGAATCTTAATTAGCTGTGGTCAAATACTTGAAATACACAAGTTATTTGGCCAATTTCACACATTATATTGCTCCAGTTTTATTTTAAAGCCTAATACATATGCTCAAAATAATATTCCATTTTAAACCATAAAACACAATGAAACCCCCTCCCCCAACCAAAACTTGAAATCCAAGTTTAACCTGTTGTATAACTCAGAAAAAATTCCTCAACATACTCCTTTCAAGGCTGTGAATACTAGTGCAACTTCAAAATATTTTATTTTAAATGTTCCAACATATTACTTACTGAATTAATGCATGAAATCGCTCAAAGCCAAGCTCTTCGACAGCCAAGGCAGCTATACACAAGAGACACTTTTCAGCACTACACATGGCAAAAAAATGACACAAGATACACACAGCAAGCTAGTATACTTTCAAGCTGTAATTATATTTTTAATTTTTAATCTTCCCTTGACATTTAATTTTTTAAGTGATTAGTATAAACTAATTTACTGCAACATTAAGATTCCACCATACAAATTAGTGAGAACATTTCTACTTGGACTAATCAGTTTACTAAAAGCATAAAGCCACTGAAGTGTGTAGCCTTGAAAATATTTGTCAAATACTAAGCTGTTGATTTTGTACAAAGCGTGGCTGTCACAAAGTCATCAAGCATATGCACGCTATAGATATAATTTTGCAGGTCAACAAGAAGAATTTCCTAGAAAAGCAAGCATGATTATTTGGACCATTTTATCACTGTAGGTAAGCTGTATTTTTTCTTCATATATATATATATATATATAACTGTTACTGAAATGGTGGGGTTCCCCCCCCCCTTTTAATGCTTAATAATTACAAACAAATGAGTAGAATTATTCCAAACAGTGTTACACAACCCATTTTTAAATAAATTCTCATTGTTTCTTTTAATAATGGATAAATAGCCTTTCAAATAAGTGTCACATCCAAGACAGAAAAAAAATACAGCATTGTCTTCCCAAGTTCAACACAAGCTTTATACCTTTGTTTCCCTCACAACATTTCCAAAGCAAAGAGATGAAATCAACTTTTAGAATCAAATTTTGTTTTACCAACAGGAAGTTATACTCGCTAGTTGTGTAATCAGCAAAGTCTATAGTCATTCAAATATTGAACAGTAGCAGTCTTTAGTGCCCTCTATGTCTATAAAGACTTTCTCTTCCTGCTAGTAGAATAATATACAAACCATAGATCTGCTTTCTGATAAAGGCCACTTAATGCTGATTTTTTAAATAATGTCCGATCATCTAGCTACTGAATGTGACTGCATACAATTCATTGAAGACCTGAGGCCATTAAGGCTAATACTACTGGTCAATTCTTCCCACAAGAACTGCAGAAAAGGCTTTTTATGCCCTTTTTGATTGTATTTTGATAGATACGCTTGATTTGCCTATGTGCAAATACAACTGATTCTCCAGCAACACAATACTTTCATTTACTACTTCAGAAATAAAGCAGCAGTAGTAGTCTTAAGAGTGTTAGTTTTTATATTTTGAAAAACTACAAGGAATTGCTAAAATTAGGTTACCAAGAGCAAAACTAGCAAGAAAAGGTGTTTTAAAGAATTTTTTTAAAAATTAGTCTAAATTGCAGAAAGTGCTACAGGAACTAATCCCGCTCCAAGAACACATGTTTTTGTAAGCAGAAAGTTAGAGGGACTAAATCATATAAAGCAATCTTTGAACCTGGGAACTTGCATCACTACAGCCAATGCGTGGCCAACAAGGCACTGGTATACACCACAAAAGCACATGAAAAATGCCATTCCATTCAGTAAGTGTGCTCGAATCCACCTTTTGTCTGCACAGCAGGATGACAGGCAGTTTCATTCTGTTACTACAGAGTGGAGTGAAATGGGAAGAGAACCACTATTTGAAACAAAAGGAAAGAAGTAGAAACCCTAAAGAGAAGTGTAGCTATACAAAACCCCAACAAGGTTAAATAAAGACAGTGCTTAGTTGAGAAGAAAAGAATGAACAGCAATAAAAAATGAGCTGTATGAGAAACACAACTGTACAGAAACTCTTTAAAATTATACTCTATCACATTTCCTGGTTTTATTATAAATATATTCCCATATTCAATTTTGAAATAGCAGTAGCCTGTCACGTGGAATTGTACCTGTAATACTCCCCCACACACATAACCGAACTCTTAAGTCCTACCAACTATGACAACGCCTGTTTCTATTTTTATTTATTACAGCAACCATGCAAAAAAAATGAATATATTCCTTTGCACTAGCAGTACCAGAACTCTGCATTACTAACAATATCTTCTTCTCCACACCTTTGTCCCAAGCCTAACCAGGCAAGAAGCTGGTCTATAGCTAAGTAGCAAGACAGAAAAGAAAAAAGCCACCCTAACAAATATAGTAAGTGTATTGCATTACACATACAAGGTAAAATACTGTTTTAACTGTAGAGTACATACAAGAGGTACATTGAGTGTCTAACAGGAATGTAGAATATTAACAGCAAAAGAGACTAACACTGCTCATGACAAAAGCAGACTGCTCATGGTAGATGTATCCTGGTCCTCTTAAGCACATTCCACGGTATTAAGAAAGAACAAGTGAGGCAGAACTTGTAGACTGTACAGAAATATGAAAAAGTAGATATGTAATAAAATGGGTTAAGTGCCAGTGTTGAGAGTAATTATTCATCAAGTGTGTGTTTAAAAATAATTTCTGCGGAACATTTTCTTCAGAGAATTCTTTAGAATAAGGCAATATATTAAAAAACAGGACAGTAAAAGCCTATTGATAACTATGCTCTACTTCACTTTTTCTTCAAAGGAAAACTCATAATATGAGCAAGACCTTCTGAGACAACTGGGAAATCCGCAAAAATTAGAGTTACAACTGCCTTATTATCTTGCAAAGGAAGATTCTTTTCTTTTAAAAAAAAACAGTGAAGTTGTATATACAACTTCCTGTACAATAGATTTTCTTAATAATAACAACAAAAAGCTCACTTTGGAACTCTTACGCGATGACCTTCTGTTTCTTCAATTAAGTAAAATTTTAGTAATTATTGTTTGAGCCGTCTAAAGCACATGGAGCATTTGACGGAAGCAGATGAAGATGACTCGTAACATAATGAGCTCCAGCACTAGGAACTGCTATAGCTAGCTGCGCACGGACAAATCTACTTGTACAATTCTTACTTTGTAGTTATGCCACAAACTGCTGAATAACATATTCCTTCCATCAAAAGATGGCACCTTTATAAGCCTTTTCTCATGTGAAGATTTTTTCATACTTCTTAAGGGGCACATTGGGAACAGAAACTAAAAGAAAAAGAAGCTTATCTTTTAACATGTCAGTTATCTCCTATTAAAAGATTAATAAATACACATGTCAATGATCACGTGCGCACAGATGAACTTTCCTTGTTACTGGCTCCCCAGTAATCAGGTATGACTGGATGCCATATCTCAGTGCAACAGATGATGTTCACCGGATCCTTGCTGTCAGTAACTAATGAAGGAATCAAGACATTTCCAAAAAGCAGGTAACTGGAAAATTCTAAGGTACAAAAAAATTTCCATTAAATCTACCAGAAGGTGATTTGATTAAACTGTTCTGGTACTGCATAGAATCAAAGAAAGGAAAAAAGGCTACTTCTCCATAACAAGAGATCCAGAATACTTTAGAACAGATAAAGCTTTGCAGAATTTCCTACAAAAGCTCTTCTGAAATAAAGCAACAAGTGCCAAGTTAAAATATTCTTCCAGTATCAGGAAGCATGTAGATTTTTCTACACATCAGGTCCCAATAAATTACAATATAAATCTGAAAATACTATGGAAATTGCTCAAAGTCAAGTGAAACACCTATGTGAGAACTCCAGTGATAGACAGCACACTCCTTTCAACAAAAGGGATCAATGCCTCTAATAACATCAGACAAAAACCCATCTGTTGTTAATGGAATCACAAAGGTGAAAAGCCTATCTGTGTAATAATAAAAAGCAGTGGCTGCTCCAAAGCAACATAATACTTCACTAAGTGACAGGTAATTTAGAACAGAAATACTTCTTACAAGGTTGTTCCTCTTGACGACTAGATTCTGCAGGACTTTCAGAAATACTAGCAGTTTCTTCAGTTGTTTTTCCTCTTATCCATGTTGCCAGAGAGTACGACTCAGAATTATCAGAACAAGCCATTTCCAAAATATCACATAATGTATGACAGAGAAGGTTCTTCTGCTCCTCTTCTGAAAGATCAAAAACCTACATGAGTTCAATTGCTGCTAATCAGTATCTTATGTAAGTTACTAGTATATTTTTATGCAATGTTATCTAAATCATTGAGTTTATTACTTTTATCTTATTAATTATTGATGTTAATTGCTGTTTGACTATACTGGACTGAAGAATTATAAAACTATCTTCAGAAAATGAGTTTTAATGATTTCTAATCCATTCTCTTTCCTAATAATAGATTTCAATGAAATAGTTATAAAACACAGAAGTATTAGGGACAGGCACAGACCTCACAAATGGGAGTTTAGAGACATATAGTATACATACTGTATGCCTCAAAATGGCATGGGAGCACACTTAAAAACAAAAAGAAAATGTAAAATATTTTCAATTCTTTGCACTAGGACATGCTTTACAAGTAACTAAAATGGAAAAAATAAAGAGGAATAAAAAAGAAGTCTCGGTACCTGGACAGTCTCTCCAAGTAGACTTTTCACTGGTAAAAAGCCTCTTCAAAAGGAATGCCTTTGTTATCAAAGCATAAAATAATATTGAAATACAAGACAACACCAACTTTTACATTACATCACAAGCTCCATACCAAAGCATTTTTGCATGTTATTAGAAGAGCTTCAAGCTGGTCATCGTTCAGTAAGTGACTCTGAGCACTGTTTACTGATTTTTCCCATTCAAACTAACTAAAAAGATAGCCTCATACCTCTGTTAAACATCGAGTATGAACCTCAAGTATGTTCTCTTGAGAGATGAGAAAGAATTAGGATTATATTTATATCTGATCTTTTACTTCTCCCCTTTAACCTGCATTCCGCATTTTAAAGTTACCTCTGCTTGGATCAGCCTGCTGCACTTCCTCAAAATAATAGTTCAGAATCAGCCCATCTCTGCCTTTTTACTGTTTTTGGTTTTGGTGGGGGTTTTTTGGTGTTTCTGTTGTTGTTGTTGTTGGGGTTTTTTTTGTCTCCTCCACACTGTAATTATGAAATCAAAATACAACTGATCTGCAATATTTTTAATATTTAGCTTAATTCCACATATTTAGAGAAGAGAATAGAGCTTGGGATTATTAATTTTAAACCATTCCTATAATAAATGCAACCTACCTGTACAGGTGCAATCACTGCACAAGGGCCACCTTCAAATTGTTCTAAGGCAGTTGATTCAGATTCACTAAAGACAAAACCTGTCAAATGAAAACAAAAAAAAGTGAAATATGTAAACAAGCACGTTTATGTATACTCCTTCCCTAATAGAAATGACACCTGACTTATTCACCTTTAAAAATTACATAAGTTTTCAAGACTTTGCTTTCCCTGATCATGCAACAAAATGTGCTTAAACTCTCTGAAGGAAAAAAAGTCATGAATACGAGTGAGTACAGAAATGTCTTATCTATCTCAGCAATGAAATCATGACCACAGAGGGCCAACATCTACGGTGTTAAAGAAACAGAAAGATTTTTAACAGTAAAACCGTCACTAGAGCACATATGGCTGGATACTTACACCACAGTTTTTATTTTTATCATGGTTTATTTCTTATAAATCAATTAAAATTCATTTGCAAGTGATAAATACTTTGTTTCACATGTAAAAAAAAATAATAATTTTTGGACCTTCAATAAACATGCATAATACATTTCTATTCCCCATGAAGGGTCGAGTATGCCTCCCACTGATCTCATTTTTGGCCTATCAGTGCTTCCTATTAAGACTAAAATATGCTGAGTTACTCAAATATTCACCTGTAACTACTGAAGCAAGCCTCTTAATGGTGTTCTTTCACAGAAGACTCACTATATTTACTGACATGCAAGATCACCTATTTCCTCCCTCCATCTTTAATGTATTTGTATTTCAATATTATCTTACAGCCACATAACAGAGCAATTATGGCAAAATTGTTTGCTACTACCTTGCCCTTAAACTTGTCTTCAAGATATGGTGATTCATAGCTTGCATTTCTCATAGATAAATGCATACACATGGACAATTACCTTGATGAAGCTGACACAAGGCAACTTATAGTGAGTGATATTTTGCATTATTCTTTTAAATGCTGATAAGATCATGCTGAAGTGACTCCAGTTCAATGTAATCTAGAAACCATGCAACCATAGTCAGTAACTAGCCAGCAAGCGCAAGTGAGGGTAGGGGAAAAGGGGATACACATGCATATTCTCTCAGCAGTGTCAGTCTCAGCAGAAAGAATATTCAATGTTTGCTTCCACAAATTTTCCCTTTCCCAATTCCATATCATTACATGCTGCCATATCAGATGCATCCCTAACCTCTGGATGTGACTTTGAACTTGGGAAATGCGTTCCCCCAGTGCAGACTTCCACGCTGCTACATGCCAGGTACATCACCCCAAGCAGCACAAGTGAGGATTGCTACATGTTTTGTAGGCCATATTTCATCAAGGAAATGATAGCTGCTCAACAATAATATGATTTTTTTTTCCCCTAAGGTGGACCAACGCAGCCATAGTTCTTTAAAAAACAGGGTTTACCCTGTATCTGACAGAAGGCTCCAGGTTGTTCTTATTGTTTTTAACTGAATGTTCAAATGTGCATTGAAAGATGTATTTTATATCCAAAACCCAGATGCATGTCAAGTCTACATACTTAGATCCAGCATCACCTAATGTAGCAACAAAGTTTCATTAATCCATCCTTCAAAGTTTGCACTAGTGTCATTTCACTCTCCTGCTAACATGCTCTGATAAGAAACATCACCAGTTCATTAAGTTTTCTGAATTAGTTTGTGTATGATTAGTTTATCATATTAAAGGTATGTCTTCCTTTATGCTGAGGTGTTACTGCATGCAATCTAAGCACACTGCAAAAATAGAGGTTTTTTAGTTGTTTTAATGATTTAGCCACTGCAGAAAAACAACATACTTGGATATGGTACCATTAAACCACACTTCAAAAATCTTGAAATTTTTTTCACATTCTTCAGGCTTCTTAAAGAAAATGAGCACTTTCTCAGCTTAACCCTGTCCTATTTTTCAAAATTGCTTCCTAAAAATAAAGAACACTGAGTGTGATTCACCAGACTGAATACAAATCTGAGACAGAAAATGCAAAATTAATATTACACAGAATCTGACAGAATACAACCATGGGAAAAAAACACACATAATATCTAAACAAATACTTCATTTCTTTTTATCAAAATGTTGCTTAATAAACATCACGGTTCTAAAAACTGTTAAGCAAAAAATGGGCTCCGGGAATTTTGGTCTTTGCTCTCTTTTTGCTTCTCTTTTGTAGAAGTTTTAAAACTTCTACAAAATCTGAAGTCAGCTGAGGCAAAATTTCAGAAAACGGCAGTCTGAAGTCCAGTTGGGTTCAAGTTTACCTCAACTTGCAATTGCACCTACTTACCTTTTTTACCCTCCACCATATTCACATCTTGGGTAATCACTATAAATACCCATCAACCACACACTTTTCCTTATGATACAGAGGAATGGCCTGGCCACCCTTTAAGCTACCAAGACTAGCACCTCTGATCCAGACTAAATTCTACTTGCTCTCACCCTTAACCAGTCCTATCTATCATACAGCTCTTTTTACTCAAGGTAAGATTTCAAGAGCAAAATAAATGCAATGGAGCCAATTAGTCTTTTTTTTTTAATTAATCTGCCTGCCATTTATCAATGAGTGTAATTATCTTCATTTGCCCGTAAGAAACATAAAATAATATAATTATCATTCATCTTCCTTGTCGTTTATAACCCTATTACATGTTCCATTGACTCAATTTTTTCCAAGATCACTACTGCTCTATCGCCTTAACCTTTCTGTCAGGGCTGGTGGGGAGAAGAGAGGGAATTAGATCTAGATTCCTGTTGGTAATCAGTGTATTGCCCAGTATTTTCAGTTATGGTGACTATGATATTCCCAAATTTGACTTTATAGCCTTTGTCCATTATTAATCACACAAAAAGTTTTATTCTCCTTATTTCCCCAAAACTTAGCATTTACCAAGGCCTATGTTTATTTTCTCACACTTTATTCTTAGCTCTTCTACATACAGTTTGCCAAAACGAATGTATGACTTAGTTTGTACTCTTGTCTTTCAACTAGTACTCTGTATCACAGTCCAAAGCACTAAAAAAAACCAATTCATCTTATAATCCCACCACTTTCATGTATCTTTTTATTATTTATTTCTTAAAAAAATTTTTTTTTACATCAAGACACTCTAGACATTAGTAACACTGTCATTTCAAAAAGGATGCTGTATACTTCAGTGTTTCCACTCTGTGCAAGGACCAACTCTAGCTGAATAAAAAAGACCAGGGGAGTAGCCAAAGAGCATGCAAACTTAACCTCATCAGAAAAAAAAACCAACTTGCTTTATCTCTGATTCAGTCTAGCTACAAAGATGCTGCACTATTTATTTTTATGTCCTGTTCTCTGCTGAGCCGGTCTCTCACCACGGAATTGTATTTCTTTTTCTCTTTTGGGGTACAAGAACTGCCTGACAGAAACACTAGAATAATCCATTATTATCCAAGTACAAATTTTACAACATATCTTAATATTTCATCCTTCTCTAGTCCTGGGTGTAGAATGACAGACACATTTTGCATATGGCTTTGAGTTTTCAGAATGTGTAAAATGAAACTTCTGAAATTTTCTGAGGGGGGAGAAAAAGCCCAAGCAAAGCAACCTTTACTCACACACAAAAAGAAAGAAGCACTTACTACAGCAATACCACAACAAAATTCCACTTGATGGGTTATGGATAAAGAGTCAGGAAGACCTGGAAGAGTTTGAAGGAAGTATCCAAATTACCTGGTAAGCTACCATTGAATTAGGTGACAGGCTACGAGAAAACAAGGTAAGATTCCAACGTGTCTGCCTTTTTTCACACCTTTGTAAAACAAAATGGACCAAAACAAAACAGCTCTGCGAAACTTCTGAATTTTGACTGAAACTTCTGAATCTGTATCCTGATAAGAGCCTTCAATGTAAGCACTCCTCAAGAACTTTTATTTTATTTAAGCATGTCAGCCTTATCCAGAGTAATGAATGGACTCAGTAGCACCATATCCTTTCTTAAAGTTCGGACAAAGTCTTCTCAGATATTCCCTTTTGGGCTTGGGCAGCAGTAAAGAATTTTAGGGTTCACTGATTATTTTAAAAATTGTGTTACAGAGCATTTCAAATTTTTACTGCTCTCTGCGTATTTCAACGACATTAGCCACCATGCCCATTAGCCAGAAAATACAATCTTTTTAACTACTTAACTTACATGTTTTCACACCTTACTTTTTCCACAGTGAATGGTAGCTTCTCCTCTTCCAGTTTAACATTACTGAAAGAGCTGCTACTTTCAGATAATGACACACAGTCCCTCAAAAAAATACGTATTTCTGCCCCAAAGCCTAACTTCTCATTCAGCAAGCTTCACAGGAAGTTTTGCATTCTTCAGAATTAATTCATTCTTTTAAGACAATTCTGCATTACGGAAGTATATGAAATAAACATTTGAATCTCATATACAATAAAAATGGATTTGCCAGTCAGTCTAAAGCTGCAAGATATGGTATATTTTGTCTGTAAAGACAGTATCACTACCCCAAAGCCAATATGGCACTCCAAGGAAGGAAAGAAAAAAAAAAGTCTACCAGTACAAAACTGAGAACCGAAACTCTTCCCTAGAGAAGGCTGCTAGGTAGCTCTTCTCAGCAACTCGTCCCTGCTATTTTTCCAGAAGCTACTGCTGTCTCACATGTAATAGTAGTATTGCTTGTGTTAGCAAAAAAGAGCACTTCCTGCTGGCGAATTAGCAACATCTACTTAAACTGAAGCAACATATTTTACTTAAGAGACGCACTGAGTCAGCAGTGATCAGTATTTTTTTGTTTGAAGACCTCAATATTTTTCCACACAGTGCGTAAATTCCTGGCAGCAAGTTTGGCTTCTAACTTCTTACTTAATTTTTACAGATGCCTTAAAAGCAGTCCACAGACCATGACTTGAAAACCACTTACCAAGGTTTACTTTGCTAAGTGTGACCAACACCGGTAAACCAGAAGCTTCAAAATCAGTTCCACCACAAGATTTGAAGAGCCAAGACTTAGGGCAGACAAGCAGCAACAAGTAGGCAGACGTGGGCCAACAGGTGTAACCACTTCCTCCAGCTGTTGACACAATCCAAACTTGTCTATACCTAACTGTGAATATTAAATGAAAATTGCTTTGCTTTTCTCCCTGATTAGTGGTTGGCACTGAGTAACATGGAACTCAAAGAGACAGAAAGCAGGTCTTCATACTACACTTCTGAAATTAGTCATTTTGAAAAGACTGTCCCAGCATCTTTCTTTCCAAAAAATTAGGTAATTTTGGAAGGATGCTGCACTCCAACCTGCCAGATATTCATAGTTGTGTAGTCCTGAAGCTGCGTGTTTTAGGGCTAATCTGAAGAGCGGCTTTATAGATGGAATTTGTCTCTTGGATTAATGAAGAAAATCACTCCTAAGATGGGTATGTTTCTTTAGGGCTTAGTCCTCCTCCTAACTTCTTTCCAAGTCATCATATCTATACCAGGAAACCCCAAGCCTTTGCACTACATTCCTGTGACCGCATTGAGGATTCTGGTAAATGGGATTCATGAGGTTCAAACTGAAAATTCTGATGCAATCATAAAGGAAAATAATTCTATAAAATAAACGACACACACATAAAAAAATCCAACTGCAACAATAGCTTTGCAGCCATGCCTCTGGTAAGTCAGGAATGAAAACAATATATTTAAAGTTGCCAATGCAGCAAACTGAGGGAATTACTGTCACTAACTTCCAACAGCACATCCACATTAGCTAGGTCAGTTCTGTTAAATGTCCACAGATCAGTGTGTCTTCAGTTTCTACCAAACAAACATGATGGTTAACAACTTTGGTGCATGACAAAGATTCCTGGAATATCGCTATCTTTACTGAGAAACTGACTGGTTTGAGTCTTACATTCCTCAACACCCTCCTTACTCACTACTTCTCTTTCTGAATGTAAATTATAGTTCTCAACTTCCAAAGGGTCTGAGAAAGGATCAGACAACATTCAGAAAGTATCTGAAATAGCAGTGTTGGCACTACACTTGGGGAAAAAAAAACCCAAACCACAAAAAAACCTCAACACCAAATCATTTGTTAAGCAAGCATCATTTATATTTCTTTGATTTCTGCACATATGATGTGAAACAAGGGTCTACCAATTAATCTTCGAAGTCTTTGGAAATAATAAAGCTTAATTTTTATGTTTATGTTGTTTTGTTTTGTTGGTTTTTTTAATCTTGATGAGTCACTGTTGACAAGACTCCTTTGCAGTAGGTATACAGTGCAGAACTTTTTCAACTAAATAGAAACTGAAAGTTGGGTAAATGTACTATGCTGTCACACAACATAAGGGACCAAGACCTCCAAACAATACACCAACTTCTTGTCATGTGTTTTTACTTCATAAAATTGATCATATTAAAAAGGATAAAGAATAGGAAAGAGATATACCACAAAGTATAGTTACAGGACTTTCCCTAAAGACAGATGGGAAATAACTTCCTTTTCAGGAGCCACCGAGAACACGAGAGACCTTTACCATTAATCTTTCACAGGATCACAAATGCAGAGCATTACAACATACATTTCAATACATTTTAAAACCGCTAAAATTTCATATACAAACTATCTTGAAAATGTAGATTTTGGTAATCTACCATTACCAGTTAAAGAAATAACTTTTTAACAACAATTCTTTTTTTTTTGACTTCACAAAAACCTTGTACTAAAACAGTAACACTCAACCAAACTTAAGAGATATTTCAAAACATAGTTACATAGCAATAAAAATAATCACTTCACCAGGAAAAGTAATGGCTCTACTAGGCCTACTTAAATTCTAGAA